ATGAACTATTCATTCAAAGTGAAAAACTATAAAACAAATGAAAAATTAAAATTAAATATCCAGAGATTATTGAATTTTTCCAAAACCAAAAAATCAATCATTATTAATACTACATTTTTATTACAAACAAAATCTCTATGACAACTTATTAGTCCCATGCTCCATGTTGTTTGGCAAAAACTTCATTGTGTTTTCATGAAACACTTAAAAGTAATGGTAGTGGTCCATAGTTGGTGGGACACCGTAAATATATAAATTCCCTCCAATAGGATAGGTGACAGAAAGTTTTGCAAATGTGTTTCTATGAAAATGTGTCCAAAAATTCATACAGGAACAGGCACTCAAAATGAAACCCCTTTCACTCCCACACAAGCCCACTGCACATCTGCATTGCTCTGATGCAAACAGGTTTGTTACATTTATGGGAAAACCTACAAAAAGAAATCGGTGTTCTTAACATGACTGTACAGCCTTGGTTGATTTCTCCTCTCGGGCACTCTTCTGTCATAAAAGTAGTGAATCAGAACATGGCAATGATGATTCACTTGTTAGCACCTGTTGTTATGAATTTGACGGCACATTTTAATAGGAATAATTGTATTTCGCTTCCCGTCCTGAATCGCCTCTCCAAACTTTTAAATAAAATTAAAATTTCTTCTCTGTGTACGATGAGCATGAACTCCTGTTTTCAGAATACTGATATGTAGAACCATGTGTAAGTTTCTATTTTGGTGTAAGATAATATTGTTGAAAAATGTTTGTGTGCAGGAGATAAGAATAAGTATTGGGCCCTAAATTTATCAAATAATCGACCTCCAACATTATTAAACTAGTGACTAATGTATCATATCATTTAAAGAAATAACATTGTTTTATCAGTGAATCTAATAATGACATGTTTTCATGCGAGTAATGAACTGACTTCATGGAGGGGCAGTCAATAAATTTCTGAAATTCTTATATTTAATTTTGACTATTATTCTTAGTTTATAATTTTATGGAAGGTATCTTAAAGGTAATTTTTAGTTAATAGTGACTTAATCGTATGAAGCTCAGTAATAGTTTTGATTTATTTAACACCATACAGTAAGGTAAAGAACTAATATTCTGTTACTTTCAGTTGCATTAAACAGTAATCCATCTCTTGTTGGAAGGCAGAATTCTTCATTATGATTCTGTACTGTGAATTAGCCATGAAGTGTGACAAGTTTGATGCCAAAATGTCAATTAGAACTGGAAAATTTGACTCCCTCAAAATATTCTCTTTGTTGAGAGTTAAAAATGACTTCGGTTTTTGATTGGCACTGTCTTATTAGATTTCACCAGGTGTGGGTGGGGCTCATTCTTTCTTTGCTTTTGACCTAGCCTCTATTTTTCTTGGTGCTCAATGACATACTCGTGATCTCAGAACCATCGAAATGATTTCAAAGAAATGAATGGTATAATCGTGGTTTATTCTTGGTTTAGTTAGTTTGGCCACACAGGTCATACAGAAACACTGTATTTGATACATTCTTTCCCTCTGGAATGAATCATTACACTCTAGCTGTACATGGCAAAACTCTTGTTGCTGTCCTGAGAGTTTAGTGACTTTTAAATTTCTGATCCAGCTATGTGTGTGGATCTGCAGCTGCAGAGGCATACCCAGAGATTGATGCACTAAATGCTGCTATCTGGCTGAGGTGGCCTCAGCAACAGAGACGTCATTGGCAGCTAGAGTGACTTCGTCGTGAATAATTCTGAGCCTGTGAGATTTCTATGAGGACATCAGCTCAGAGAGTTGAACTTTCCCCATCCCAATAGGCATAAATCCAGAATCGACGACTACAGCTTGGGCAATGGCTGCAAGATTGAAGACTGGTGGCCACTTCTGGACTAGTGACCACTCTGTTGGTAAGGGTTTTGTGTTCAGCCTCCCCGGAAGCCATTGCTCACATTATATCAAGATGTCATCAAACTTGCTTTAAAATGATGTCTGTATTTGGAATTTGACACATTGAAATTCATTAAATATGTTTACATATCATTGTCCCACTCCTTTTATCTCCACAAGATTCCAGATCCCTGAGATCCTTGCTGTCCTGAATTGGTCTTTTATATTTTATTGTATTCCTATGATACTTATTCAATGGGAAGACTCAAATACACGAGAAAAAAAAAAGAAGAACAAAAATCAATTCATTGGGATTACTAAAATGCCTTTCAACATAAAATAGCCCAAGAAAACATGTGTAGGTAAAAAAAAAATTGTATCAGTATTATACATGAACTTCTTAACAATCCCAGTCATTTTTTTGTAGTCGTCAGTTCAGTCTTTTGTCCTTATATGATGGAGATTTCTGAACTATCAAATGGCTGAGTGTCTTGACTATCACCGAAGAACACTTTCCGAGATTGTTGATGATCTTATAAAGAGTCGATGAAACCTTTACTAATGTTTAACAGATATTTAATATGTTGAATTTAATTCTGTTTGCTATTCTTGTTGGGTATTTATTTAAAGCTACTTATTGATTTTTGTATTTGTATCATTCTCTTCACTTTCAAACTCAAGGTTTGTCACTACTACTATGTCTTAGTATCAGAATACTTCAGCATTTCGTTTTTTATAAGAGATTTCTTGAATTTGTGTTCCTCATTTTTGTTCTTGAATCCTTGGTTTAAAAGATGTCCTGTAAAATAATGAACTTGATTAGTTTATCTTTAGAACTGGACATATACATGTTAGATGATATTTGAAATATTGAAGGAATAAAGGGAACATTATGGGGCTATTGTCAGGAAATGTGGCTTTCAGAATTGGGCTTTGTTTAGCTTTTATGTTGAAACACTTTTTTGCATGTGACTTACAATTGAAAATGTGCATGCTAAACATATTTCTGTAAAATGAAATTACCAGCTTATCTATTAATGAACCCAGATCTTTTTGAACTTTCTGCTTTATATTTGAAGCATATGTTTACATTCACATTAAATAAAAATGCAACACACTTTACTAATCGTGTATGAATATATGAACAAAGTAATGGATAACAGTGACTGAGGGTACCAGCTTTTATTATCTTTATTTGTGCCAGCATTTGACTCAAATAATTATAATGTAACTTGACTCAGTGTATCATAGGTCACTCCAAGTAAACCATTACTAATGTGAATGTTAATTAATTAATGAATTGTTATTGAGGTGTGAAAATGTAGACTTACAGGTCTAAATAATGGCCTGTGCTATACACCTAAGCACAGGCCATTTTAAGAATAATTGCTCGCTCTGCTCAACTTCACATCAACAAATAGCAAGAAGCATCATTACTTGCATATGATCACACTTTGGGGAGGAACATATTCCTCATTAAAGCAATAAGTCAATGCATCTCTTAGTTTGTTTTTCTCACAACCCTGTTCACAATTTTATTGTGATGAAGGTCTGTGCCAGAAATGGTATGATACTGTTTATTTGTAATTAAGAGCTTGACGGAGGTTGCAATTTGTTGCAGAGGCCCATTAGAAACATTTGTCAGTGGAAGAAAGCTTGAGCCACATTCTGAATACTGACTTACACATTCTCTTGATACTGGCTACTGATCCACCTTGGATGTTGAAATTTTCCAGAATACAAGAGATTATTTTGAAACATATTGACAACCGTTTGAAAAACTATATGCAATCTGATATTACCCACCATGGCAACTGTATATACTAAAGAACTTTGGATAACCTCAAATAATATTAAATAATCAAAATGTATGTGTTAAAAAACATTCCTCTTAATAAACAATCCTTGAAGTTAGTGACTGTGGAAAAATAGTGAAAAAAAAAATTGGAACAGTATCTGAAAAAAAGTTCCTCCGTGTGGATTGTATGACTGATAATATTTTTATTTTAATGGCATTGTTAAGTTATGATTCAACTGATTTGTAGATATGAGTTAAAAATAACTTAATTTATTTAATTAATAGGTATTCGTTAGAAACTTTTTCTTCAATACTTTTCATGACTTGCAGGCAGTGCTTAGAAATTATGATTGAACAGAACCCGTAGTTGAAAATTCTTGAAAATAATTTTTTTGAGTAAAACCTCTTTTTGTTGATTTATTTTTTTATTCTCATTTTACTTTTTCTTTTTCTCTTATGTATTGTGGTGGTCAAATGGCTTGATGGCTTTCATTCAAACATGTTGTAATATTCTTAAAACCACTTCCCTCGTGTCTCCTATGCATTTGTTTACATCTTTGTACCTACAAATGCAAGTGAGTTCTATGAAATACGCTCACATATGTTTGGAACATAATACATTTGGGTGTAAGAACCTTGTGTTAAGATTTTTACATTATGAAGGCATTCTATTTTTGCAGTAATATGATACTTACATTTTCCTTTGTTGTGGGTTTACGTTTAATGATAGGATGCTATACTTTTCTAGGTCCTTTATAATTTCTTGTGAAATTTGACCTTCAAGGGCCTCTTTCGTGTGTATGTGTGCATTTGCTTATGATGAATGCATATGTGAATGTATGTTTGTGAGGTTTCATTTGCATAATTTCAAGTGTTTGTGTTCTTCTCTGTCTGTCTCCAATTGCTTCATTGGTTTCTTTATTTTCTGTATATTTAATCATCTTGCTTGATTCTGTGTAGAACTACTGAGGAATGACAACATGGCTATCCAAATATTCAAAATTTGTGTAGGAAAACCAATTCAGTTTTGATCATGAATTCTTTGTTAATATACAGGATTAATATGGAAGGTAATAGCATTGTTTATTTATTGTCTCATGTCTGAAGCCATAGTAGAGCATTATGTGAGCCTAAAACAAAAAGAAACATAAATAACCAAATAAGATAGTGTGCTGTGGAACCGCTTATATTGCCAAATTTCAATGTAGCTTTCTGTTGGTCTCATCTATAACTTCCTTGCGAATACCTAAAATAATTTCTTCAGTGCCCCTTTGGAAAACTCTCATTTTCTCATTTAACGTGAATATTAAACACACTTGTTTGTATTAGTTGATGGGACACGATTATCAAGATTGGCGCCAAATCTCATTCGCATCATGTGCCATCAGCTTGAATCTCCTGACACACTTATTTCCATGCCTATCGAGTCCGTTAGTCCCTGGATCCTTTTACAACAAATCCTAGAGAGGTAAGTGCTTAAAGGGTTTTATTATCAACCAATCATTATATAATCCATTTTGAACCAGTAAATTGATATGCTAAAAAATTCTGATTATCCTGCAGGGAAAATGAGAAAGGGCGAGCTGTGACACCTGTTGATGATGATGATCTGCCTGCTTATATCAACATTCTGTTTATTGCACATGAATTTCTATCCAGGTCAGACATTATTGATAGCATGACATGTCCTTTCTTTTGGCTCATAAGCTGTGGGTGTTGGTTCTGAATGTGATAATTCTTTGTCAATAGTGGTAAAAAATCCTTTACTGAGGTTTTGTTGTCTTTATGGATCTATAACTAATGTCACATTGATGTGGTGGTCTTGTTTTAGACAATACAAAACTTCAAAGGCCATGGTTCGGCTTGCCATTATAATTGAGAAAAATATTTGTTAAGGAGTATTTTGTGTAGGCAGAATAGATTACCCTTGATAATCATGTTTTGTGAGCTCAGAAGATTATGCCTTAAAAAAGTTTACTGTTTGGTAATGCGAGAATGGAATTATGAGTTAACAGTGTGCTTAGAGATTTAAGTGTATTAACTTGAAGACCAAATGATACAATTAATGACATTAATCACGCAATTATTGCAATTGCTTTGTGAATCACATTGCTCATGTGCAATTTAAAAATGATACAAATATTTTTGATGCCCTATTTATGAGAATCGTTGGAAGTAGCCCAACGACCTTAAAGTTATAATGCTTAACATTTCATTAGCTTCGGCTCATCATTATAATAACTGTGGTAATTTAAGTTAAAAAGAAGCATCATGGTAATCCTACCATGTTAAGTGCCAGATAAGTAAATAGCATCACTTGATACTCTGTATTTCAAGTCTTTTTCGAATACCTTGATCAATGGCAAATCAATGGTAAGAAGCATGTAATATCTTTCTAAAACAGCCTACCATGGGCACATGTATGGCATATGACATATTAGCAAACATCTCAATAGAAATTTATTTATAATGTTTTTCTAGAACGTGTGGGTTTGTGCTCATAATTGCTATTTATGAGTTGTTTGAGGTGAGTATATTGAAAGAAAGTAGAAACTAGAAACCCATGCAATCTCAGGTAAGTAATGATCAGATGAAATAATGTAAATATAATGCTAATGGTGTGTGAAGTTCTGTCTAATGTGTGGATGCCTTGTGGGTGAAAAAGTAGTTGTGTTGTTTGACATAGTTCATCTGTAATTACTTATGGAATAATAAATGGTGTTGTGGTTACTTGTGTGTTTAATGAGTAAATTGTACATACTTTGAAATATTATTTTAGAATATTAATAATTCTCATTAGTACTTCTGAAAGAGAATTCCAAAATGTTCTTTTATCAAACCATTTTGTAGCAATACTTGTAGATGCTTAACCTATTAGCTGACAAAGTGTTTTCATAATTTTGACAGATTCTGTTCACAGTTGAAAGTTTTGATAAATAGCTAAAGAGATTAAGATTTTCCTAAGACATATTTTTGAGTATTTATCATTCTATGAGTGTTATTCATTGCTCAAGTTAATGAATATTAGTTATTTGAAGGAAAAATTATTATAATAATCAATATAATATTCATTTGTGTCATTGTAATTTGCCAAAAGAATAAAATATATACAATATCTGTGACTTTTAATGAAATTAAATAATGAATGTGATAGTCTAATTTCTCAAATAGCAAAGAATAATTCATTGCACCATTCTGTGTCATTACAAGTTTCTAAAAATACCCTTCTAAAATGTCACAAAGTAAAACACCAAATAACATCAAACGATCTGATAACATAAGTACAGAATTTCTCAGAATAAATGTTACAAATTTCTAAGACTTGTAGAGGGGTAAAAAATGATTCCTTTATTTCATTGAATTCACAGTGAAACATTTCATGTAACTTAATTTGTCAAGTGACATTTGCCCGTGATTTATAGATGACTCAACTTACGAACTGGTCACATTCTGACACATTCAAAGAAATTTCAGTCACCGGCCAAAGTCTGTGCATGATGGATTATCTAATTATTAGGGGTAAGTGTCACGTTATATGAAAGTTTTCACCATACGTTCATTGACAAAAAGTTATCATTTTTATCTTTTATACAGGCCCTAAAAGTTTGTTACATTTGTTCTGTCTTGTTCTGTATGTAATATTGTCCATGCGGCTGCGAAACAAAATATGTGCACATTTCTATGAAAATGAGTGATGCACACCTTAAGGAGCAAGAAATGTTTTATAATTGATTCTCAAAACCATGCTCATAAGTTTTATAATATCACATATGTACTAATGAAGGAAGTTCATGTTGCAACATTATTATGTTCCTGCCTAATCAGCAGTGTGAGTCACACAAATTACCTTAGTATTGTCATTACTAATACATAATGTAGCAACAATATTTACATATTTTTGCCATCCAAAACATTTTTAACTGTACGGAGTAATATAATATGTACATAAATAGAAAAAACACAAGAAATTGGAAATCTTTACACCAAGTCCTGTACAAAAGTAGATTATGACTCGTTAATAAAATTCTCATCATATATTTTAAGTTATTTTTGGAAAACATTGAAAAGAAAATAATGAGGCATCGTAAAGTAAATAATCGTAATATATTTATTGTTTAGTATGAACTTTTACCTCAATTATGCATTTGGAAATTCCACAGTTCAATACTATTTCAGATATTTGTAAAATAAATTATATTTCTTACTCAATAATTTTAAGTCTAGATTTCCAAATTTTCTTTTATCTGTCTTCAGTGATTTGTCATAGAGAATTTCAGAATTACATTCTTTCAATCTTCATCTTCTTTGAGGAAGTGGCCTCTGTAGGAAATCTGACCATTTCTATAGAATAGTGCTCTTTTGTTTTCACCTTTCTTTCCTAGTCTTATTAATGAAAATCTAATGGAAGGGCTTTAAAATTTTTGAAACGCAAATTATCCAAATGGTTTATTACATTTGGTTGTACACCTTTCTTCTTGTTTTTTCTGTCTTCATTCTTCTAATATGGTGTGTCCTGGTGTGTATTGGGGGATTATACAGTCTCTTTAATTTTGAATGTACACTATTGACCTCCATTGCTGTATACTCCTTTTCTATTATGGTATATTGTATTTGAATTTCTAGTCTCCCTGAAACAATTCACGGAAAAAATTATTTTTGTGTTGGTATTGGCAAACATCAAATATCAGATTAATCCTTTTGTACAAGAAATTCATATTATTGCAATCAGGAATGCAAGTTGTAAATTTATTGGCTGTTGTTTTACTTTCTCGCTCATGCCACATATAGATGTATACCTTTTCTATTGTAAACAAATTATCAAGTTGTGTATTTGTAATTTTTTACCATAGTTTTGTTGAGAAACAAATCATTTTGAACACAAGAACATTCTGGATATCCATTGTAGCCACAAGAACATCCTCACACACTGTAAATATTGAATCCTCCATCGCTGTATCTGTACTGATACTTCCCAACCCAGCTATTAGATAATCATTATTGGCTGATACTCCAACTTAAACTACTCGGGTATATGGGTGTCATACTCATTGTGCCATGCCGATCTTCTGGTCGTCTCTCTCTGTCGATATTGATAGCCCTGCATTTACCATCTTCCACTCTCCATTTGACTGTAATGTTCTTAGGAAATGTCTATCATGAGGCTGTGTGAATAAATAAAGTAATTTCATTTGGAAGGAAAACATAGTGTTAATTGTAATTAATAAACTAACGATATTTCCCAACCAATCTTGAAGACATTAGACAATCATTGGTGGCCATTACTCCGGTTTAAACTACAAGAATTTGGTTAAAAAATCATTAGATTTTGGACAATAATTATACAACGAAATCTAATTAAAATCTATAATTTACAAACATAAATCATAGATAATTTCTGATTCATTGGGTTAGTGGAGTAAAGTCACTACTTACCATCATTTACAGACAGAACAGCCAAAGCAATTAAATATTATTCCATGTTGTGATAAGGAAAGATTTTAAGTAGAATATTTGTTGATCTATATTTTTAATAATATAATAAAAGAGAGATAATGAGAGATAATGTAATGTACAACACATATCTACAAAATGAAACTTGTTGTAATCATCAGAAATATAAGCATATTTTTCTAAACCACTTTTTAACACAAATTACAGTTTTGCATTTAGATTTGCAGCAACACCCACCATTTTTCTACAATAGCGAATCCGTTTATTGCATTATAATCTGCCATGTTCCATTTCCTTATAAATGGTGTTAGTAAAGCTTTCTGAGAAATGTGGTGAACTCCCATGCCTCTGGGGAATTGCTTAATGATCTTCTCTGTATATCAGCGAGCAGAACTCTGTCGTTATGAAAGTCATTCTGGAAATCTTGCTAGTGTTACTAGTTTGTTCTGATGTTTCAGTGCAATCATTTTTGTTCATCACTCATGTCACCGTGGTTATCAGGGAAGAAATCCAAATGGAAGTGTAGAGAGTGTAATTTAAGTGGCATTCTACAGCCCATTTTTTGAAATGTACTTAAAAGTCTCTTGAATCAATTAATTAAACCTCCTGATTTGTTTTTCACCAGGAAATGTTCACAAACTCAGTATAAACTAGTCCAGGCATTTTGCTCTTCTGGAGTCATTGTTTGTGTGAATAGATCATCTTTTCAAATCTCTTTGATTTGGGAAGATTCTTTCCTTCATTTTTGCTGTGGTGATTTTTTGGAAATTTTTCAGAGATACTGGAATTCTCCATAGTTTTCCGTTCTTATCCTCTTTACCAAACATTTTATCGAAGCTTTATATGAAGAGGAGGGAGAAATATCATGTTGGGATCAATCTAGGAACATTGAGAACAGTGTGTTGTCTGGGCTCATAAGAAACTCTTCTGTTTCTGTCTCTTCTTTATCTGTTTTGAGACAGGCTAGTAAAAACAAGAGCTCATTTCATCACCAGGAACAGCAGTTTCTGAAGGAATGGCTTTGCTGTTGGGGATGCGCAGACACCATATGAAAACTATTCGATCTCAGAAACTATTTATCTTCGAGAAAATCTAAGCACATATATTTAAAATCACACATCTCTTTTCTGATGATTTTTCATTTTCGACGAAGTCCTTATTTTGGGGGATAATTTGCAGATTCGCAATATTAAAACCATTTTAACCCAAAAATTATACATGCTAGATAAATTGTAAGTACATATATAGTATTCAGGGTGCAGCACATAAATTACACACAGTATTATCTCCAATGATTTTTCTTTGTTGTCATGTTTAATCAGAACATACCTCACTGAATGAGACTTAAATGATTTCACATCAGTTAATGTTTTCATTTCAGATCTATATCTTCATACCTGTTTGCTTTGCCAGATGCGTATATAAACAATTATTTAAAGGTTGCGTTCATAATTTCCACATGGCAGAACTGATGTGGCAGATATGAATTGTTAAAGGCACATTTTCCTTTTGTCTCCAGACGTTCCTGGTGTTGCAGTAATGAAGGAGCACTTCTTCTTCATGCAATGGATGTGGTCATACCAAGGATCCATAATCCAGAACTTCAAAGTGCATACAATAGAATAGTGCAGGGCATGGAACAAGTGATCTTCTGTTTGTATGGTCATCCCAATAAGAAGACTAAACTTCGAAGTCCTTTACAAGATCATGGAGTACCTCCTGTTAGACTTACCTGGGAGCATGCTCTGAAGTTGTTTCAATTCTATTTACCAAAAGAGCTTCCTGAATTTGATTCCCACCGTGCTGTTTCTATAACTGCTGATGTGGAACTTATTCTGAAAAGGATTATTGACCTTGTTCCTTCTGAGTGTAATCCAGGTAAAACCAAAATAGTTACAGTTATGAAGTAAAATTTTGCTGCTCACTAGTTCTGTTGTATTAAATGACTAGGATATTTCTTTTAGATAGTTAAGTTCTTAAGCCTATTCATGCATATGTTTCATTAAAACATTTTTTTCTCTTCAGATAAATTTCAAGTATATAGTTAGCTCATTAAATCAAGTGTGACTGCCAGGAAGATGCAGCCATGAGAAATTTTACATGTGTATGTTAAGCTTACATCACGTATAAATTCTGTATTTGTAATAAGTATTATAATCAGGGCTTGATTTGTGTCAGAATGTGACAGAACAGTACATCAGGTACAAAGTGGGGAGAAGAAAAAAACAAATAAAACGCAGAGGACAAACACTTGACAACTTCAATTTTTAATTCAACCATCTTTCGTAAATTCAAAATTCAATCTTTTTCCATTTAACTCTTATTTCTACGAATGTAATAAACTTATTAGTAAAAAAACTATAGAATATCAGTATAAACTATTTTTTCACAACTAAAGCAGTGGGCTTTAAAGGCAAGGACTATATCAGGGTAAAAATAGTGATTGACAACAAAATAATGGAACAAGTGTCAAGATTTTGTATCTACCTAAGGTAACAAAATCTCAACACAGGAAGAGGATTTTGTATCAAAGTTGACAAACTACATCAAAATGAATGGCTGTATAAAAAAACACTTCCAACACATGACCACAGAAACAAAATTAGATTCCATAATATCATTGCCGAACCAACATTATTCTATGGCAGTGAAACATGGGTATTGAAAAAAAGAGATAGACAAAGAATTGAAGCAGTCCAAATGAGATACCCGAGACCAATATTAAAGTGTCAAGGGAAGATAAAATAATAAATAAAGAAATAAGGAAGAATCTAAAAACCAAAAACCTTATTAAGACTTGGTAAATTATCAAAAGAAATGGCAAGATCATAAAAAGAAGGGTGAAACCAATCAGGCCACTGGAACAGGTGCTAAAGTATTAGACTGAGAAGTGTAAGAAAAAGAGGCCAACCAAAATAGAGATGGGAAAATCAGCATCCCCTTGGCAGTGACTAGCGGACTAGTGAAAGAATTGGACCAGACCATTGGTCTATACCTCAACAGTTCATGATGATGATGATGATGATGATGATGAACAACTCTTTTGCATTTACTATTCTTATTATGTTCACTCAGTCAGCGCTGTCGTTGTTATTAAGTGTGATTTATTGTGGTATTAAGTGTGACATTAAATTATAATATATAACTATTTCTATTAAATTAATAATTAATTTGGGGCAAGTTCTGGGACCTCAAATTTTGTAAATCAAGCCTTGCATATAATACTATAATTATATTCATATAAATTTTAGGTAAAAGAACTTGGAACAAAAATGCCTTGCTCTCAACATTTTCATAGGGATTAATATTATTCATTTTTGAAAATCTATTTGTAATTTACTTGTTTTAGGTATGATGGTGAACAAAATGAATCAGTTTGTTGAAGGTCGTCTAGCACAGTTGCCATGCCCTCCTGGAGGTTACATTCCTTTACCTAGGCAAATATCTGCTGTATATTATCTTCTTGCAGACTACTACTTTAAGAACAATGAATGGGTAAATTTGCTTTTGACTTACTAGTTTATATTTATAAGCCTTTGTTCGGGTCTCATTTCTTAACATATTTTCAGGCGAAGGCTATACAACATTACTTGCTGGATGTATGTGTCAATCCTGTTCGTCTTGATTCTTGGGCAGGCATGGCTCTTGCTAGAGGTAGTCAGCTGGAGACCAAATTAAATTCTGTAAGTAACTTCAATTATTTTATCATGAAACCATTTGAATTGTTGACTTCAAGCTATAAAGTTTGATGGTAAATTGAGAAAGCTGAGCACATTATTGATTTAAAAATATTTATTTTACTTTTATTTTGTTAGAAAGATAAATGGTAATATTGTATTTTGATATTCTATTTTCAAGTGTTTAGAGGTATTGTTTACTGGCTATGATAACTCAGCAACACTACAATTGCCACTGGTAGGTCCACATTGCCACGTTACCACATTGACTGGTAGGTCCTAGGATTTGAGTTCCATAAGTGGCAAAGTTTTGGCACTAGCTAGATAGCTGGGTCAAATTCAACCACTTGATGATAATTCTAGTGACCAGCTGCTCTGACCGGTAGTTTTCCTTTGTTTCTCTTATCAGTATCAAATGAATGCCATAGCAGTACCGTAACAAAGGAACCATGAACTGCATGTCTTGTTCCTTTCCTAATATGTGTTTCCACTCCTCCTCTTCCCCTACAAAGACACACTTACACGCACTACATTACCACACATGTCAATAGGTCAGCCAGGAGCTTAGAGCTTGTTCAGGCTGGGATGGTGCCCTGTTGGATGAGATACTTCGAAGGGAAAACTGCAAGCTGTCTTGTTGGTGCCAGATCTTTTCGTGTATGCAAGTAACACTGCCACCTCACAGGATATACTATCCCCTACATTTATGAGTCTAATGGTCAGAGTAGTTGACAGTGAATTTTCCACACTAGTTTGATCGAATTCAACCAGTCTAGAGAATGTTTCTGATTTCTCTGATAAATACTCAGCAAATGGGCCCCTTGATTATTTCTTCCTCATCCGTTTTCCCCCTCCCCCTCCCCCCGTACACAAGCACACACACCTTCCATGCACACACACCTCTTTCATGAACACTACAATTTTACACCCCTCTCGGCAGCTGACCCAATTGGGGCAGTATGTTCTTGGCTGTCCGGGTGACGCCACGTCCATGGTGAAGGTGCCAAAGTTTCGATCGCCATTCTGCGACCTTCTTCAGCCTGAGGAAAGTCGCAAAATGGCAATCGAAACGTCGATACCTTCGCATTGGACGCGGCGTCACCCGGACAGCCAATTAAATACTGACTCTGGCCACGGAAGCCTACGCTCTCACCCAGTTGGGGCAGTACCAGGCTAGGCAAAAACCTGGTGAGGGAAACTCCCCAAATCAAAATGTGTCTTGGTGCTGGATCTCCTGTTCCAGTGCTGTTCCAGGAGGACACTGCCACCGCCTGGGATATAAGGTTTTATCTGGGCCCGTTTTCTTGGTCCTCTTTTACGCTAATGTAAGAGGAGTGGGGAATTTTGTTATTTTAAAGGCAGGACTATTACATCAAAATTGTAACTTGTATTTTATTGCAAAATAGTTTCTAATACACTGTAGGAAACATTTCTAAAAATCTGATTTTGTCAACAAAGCTCATTGTTGTTATTCATAATTGCAACTAATTTTGGTAAATGAAGGTGTAGGGATTCTGGGGCTCCAGAAAACTTTCATGTAATACACTACAGGTAGAGTTTACCAGTAATGTATTAAATATTTAATAACGAGTATCGGCCATCTAGGACTGAGCTGTAAGTTATTCTCTGAGGCTCAATCATACTTATCTTGAAGAGATTAACGTGTTTTTATTTATTATGTGGATCAGATTTTTCAGCTGTATCCATTGGTTCAACAAGTTTCTTAACCTTGAGTTATAAATAATGAGGTAAATGGATGATGATGAGGGATGAAGGGATAATTACAAATACTATGTCTATTTCTACGCAGGATTCGAACCTGCAGTCCCATCAGGGCAGACGACGACTGTTACAACTATGTGTGTCACAGGGGCTGGCTGTAATCAATATTATTATAATTAATTGACATTTTCTTATCATAAATGAGACCTAAATCTTTTATTTGCAATACTCTTCGAAGATTAGTGTTGGACAAAGAGGAGCGGTTCTCTTATCGTATAAAAACTTTTAAACAAATTTCATTTGTTGACGTTTATATCAATTTCATTTGTTGTGTAGCAATTTGACAATAGATTGAAATTCTCTTGTAGTTCTTCACAGTCATTACTATTTTCAATAACCCCATAAAATTTGAAGATGTCCACATATTGCCAAAAAGAACTATTAGAAAAATCTTTATTGATGTCTTTAGTGAATATTATAAACAAAAATCATCCAAGATGAAGGTCTTTGTGGTCTCTGGGTGTGACAAAATGTTTGTTTTTGTTTTTTTTTATTTTTATATTTTGACATATTATTCTCTATTTATTACACATAAACAAAACCAGTTCCTTAACAGGAGAGGAATGCCAATTATTGACAGTTCATGAATTAGCAATAGAATGGAAACTTTGTTGATAAACTTAGAGAAGTCTGGATATATGACAGTTTGGTGTCAATTTTCGAAACTTTCAAGCATGTTGACTTGAGTTTAAGTTAGTTTTCATTGTCTTACCATACGTTGATTACTCTTCCCCAGAATTATTTTCTGATTTCAGTTTTTCCAGAATATTATGGAATGATCAGTAAGGCCCAGAAGTTTATGAAAAATCATATTTTTAATTATGAACTTTATAATATGCTAATTATCAAATTTCTACCAGACACAATGAAACAAATGAAATCGGTTATTTTATGTAGCATATTAGTGTATTTTGTATTAGTGCTTCATATGGCTATTATATTTAAGTTATTATTCATATTTTATAGCTTTTGTGTTCTTAATGTGGCATTTTTATTTTGGAATTTCTATTAATATTCATATCTGACTTCTCAAACGGAAAAATGTACTTCACAAATGTGAATGCTAGTAAACTCGTCATTCCCAGTGATGCTGTACGTTAGATCTTTGTAGATTGAGCGTACTCACATCACACCATAGGTTGAGGGTGAGTGTATTGCTCCCTCTACTTAAATGCCTAATAAAGAAAGAAGCAATTGTAATTTTATTTTATATTTTCTTCATTATACACTTTGTCAGTCACAATAATGCTATTATCTCTTTGCTATTTTTATGATGTTGTTTTATTAATATTTTAAAATTTTTTACTTAATGAAATTATCATCAGATAATTTCAAATGAAAAACTTGAAGATTGAGAAAAAGGGAAAAACTACTACAAGTCAGGACGTATACTTTTTAACATTAGCTAGTAATGATGCAAGGATTATACTGATCGACTGAAGTGTTTTCTGATATTTTTTTCTTGTTTCAGTGTAATATAAAGAAAAAGCATGGACATATTCTAGAAACTGCTTTTGTCAGCATGGCATACAAAAACTCTTCCCTTGCCTTTTCACTTTCTCACCTACTACATATTATAATATTGTGTAGCTATTACAAATAATGATAGAAAGTATGTGTAGCACCCCTAGTTGTTGTCAAAAGCTCACAGAAAGGATCCCATTAGTTTTAAAACAATAGTAGGCATTATCAAACTCTAATCTACCATTCAGCTAATCTGTTTTTTCTATCCACCATTGCATTTTTGCTTTTGAGCAGTTGTTTTGCTAAAATCCAAATTAGAATGAAAAATAGAATTAATTTTCAGAAGCACAGTGCTCAACCGTATGTTCCATTGATAGTTTGAGAATTTTGTAATTGTTGTCATTAAATGGTTACACCTGTCGGAGGGTGAGTGCACCATTCACTTCTTCCACACTCTTAACTCTCACAACACTGTATCCTACATTGAATGTTTAATTCTTCCATAAACTCAAGTTCCTTTTTTTATTATTTGTATTTCAAATAATAGCTGGATGGAACCAGGTTGTGGGTATACTTGAACTCTGAGTAACGGCTAATGAAATGGATAGTGAGTGCTGTGATCACTCCTTTGCCATGTGCAGGGTTAAAAAATCTCTGCAAGAGTTCAGTTGTTCAGTGATTTCTCCAGACATTTATCTTTCACTATGTTTTCTTCATATATTCATTTCTGCATAGTTTTCCATGGCTTTTCAGAACATTGTGGTTATAGGTAAATTAACTGAAATCTTGTCCATAAACATCTATGCCATGTCGCATAGAACTCTTTCTAGAATTAAAAAAAATTAATTTGAAGGGCAATGTTCTTGAAATACCTGAAATAAGCAATTTTCAAAGAATTCAATGTGTAATTCGTTGCAATATCCCGTTTACATTCTGTAATTTGTCTGCGCATATTGAAGAAAATGCTCACCATATCATAATTTATCAGGAAATTTTTCTATGTTTTTCAAGCCTTCATCTCACAAATTGATGTATATCGCCCTCTTCATTAGTGATTCAAACCTGTCAAATTTGAGCCTTTTTCAAGAAAAGTATAAATTTTCATCTATTTCCAAGACTTGATGGTGATCTCTTAATGTCTTGCCTTTTCCCAATCACCATTTGCTCATAATTTAAAAACATTATTCCACAAACACTTCTTCTTCATTCCTTTCCTTAGATTTAAGTTTTTCTCAAAGGGTGAAACAAACTTCTGGAGACATCTGCGAACAGTTCTCAATTAATGTCGTCATTGTAAAATATTTGTTACACTTTCTATTTCAATACATAAAGGTTTTCTTTTCATTTTTTTCTTTTCCTTTTTTCTTTCTTCTTTTTCTATTTTTCTTCTTCTTCTTTTCTTCTTCCTCTTCTTCTTCCTCCTCTTCTTCTTCCTCTTCTTCTTCCTCTTCTTCTTCTTCTTCCTCTTCTTCTTCCTCTTCTTCTTCTTCCTCTTCTTCTTCTTCCTCTTCGTCTTCTTCCCCTTCTTCTTCTTCCTCCTCCTCTTCTTCTTCTTCCCCTTCTTCTTCCTCCTCCTTCTCCTTCTCCTCCTCTTCTTCTTCTTCTTCTTCTTCTTCTTCCTCTTCTTCTTCTGCTTCCTCCTCTTCTCCTGCTTCCTCCTCGTCTTCTGATTCCTCTTCTTCCTCCTCTCTTCCTCTTCTTCTTCTTAAATTAATTCATTCACAATGAAATAATTATATGCGTCGTCATTGCCAACAATATTATTTAATAAAAAAGTAGCTTTTGATGGCTTAGCCATCATCATCAGTTTTGTAGAAGAAAAACAAAAACATTAAAACGTGAATATTCTTTTGATGTGACAACAAAATTATAATAAAAGTTACTAATAATTTACACTTTTTTGGAAAATATATTTAACATTCTAAGAACTGAAAGAAAGAAAAAAGTGTGTGTGTGTGTGTGTGTGTGTGTGGGGGGGGGTAAGTCATTTAATACTAAAGGAAAGTGAATGAAATAGAATTAGAACGTAAAATTTGAAACAGTAAGTTGAGCCATTCCTTACCTGCTGTATGGAAGCTACAAAAACGACTACGTGGGGTCGGGCGAGCCAAGGGGCTTAAATACCCGGCCGTGGGGTAGAGGAGGGCAATGGCCTGTGTGCGGTGCGCTGTCTACTGTGCCGCCCCGGGGGGGTACGGTGTGGGAGTGGTGTCTAATTATAATTTTAGTAAAGGAGAAGGAGTATGGTTTATATTTTCACTCACTTCATTCACAATACTATTTATCATGTATTATGGTGTCAAAACAATATTAGTTTCATTGCTTATGAACCAGAAACACTCTCAGAAAAACTTTTGTCACGCAGACATTAGCCGCAAAGTGAGTTCTGTTTAATAGCCTTTTGCTCTTTCATTCCTGAAAAATTCAACAACATACCACACACCAGTTAGCATCTCTCTATTACAGGCTGTAGTGGTGCACAAATTTGCAAAATCATTCGGACATGATTTCTCTTTTGATTCTTAATTATGACACCTTAGTATGTAAAAGTGCTGGATGCCACCAAAAGTTGTTACCAATGTTATCTTGCAATGCCATTAAAGACGATGGATGATAACACAATATACCATTATTTCTGTAAACCCTGGTCTGATCTTCTTGCTTTTGGTTTTAAATGAAAGGTAATAAAAGTATTCCTTAAGTAATGGTCTTACATGCTGTTTGATATCTGTTACCCTTTTTTGTCGAAGTGCTTTTTTTAACATGTGAAGTAGATCATTGTCTAGAAATAGTTGCAATGTTTGACAGTGTATTTCTTTAATGATCCCTGTACCCACATCAGTTACAGACATTTTCTACTCATTGTATAATTCTTATTTTTCCCAAAACATACTCAAACTTCATATTGTATCATTGTTCTTTAACATTTCTTCTTAAACAGATTGCATCTAAAGTCTAGTAACTTTTAAACCCTTTGGAATTATTATACAAATATGTCTTACTCTTAACATTTCTGTAAAGACTTGTGGGCTTCAATGACCAAAGCTGTGGAAACACTTTCCAATCCATCAATCAACCCATAAAGGCTTGTGATATTTACTCTGTTGGATATATTGTTAAATTTTTGTTACAGTGTGAAGTTTTGAAAAGTGAAGCAGAGTTTCTCAGACGAGCAGCTAGAGTTCAGCGCTGTTTCCAACAGTCTCTGAAAATACAACCACGTCACTTAACATTGTGGATTGAATATGGTTCTTTTGCATATATGGTTCATTCATTTTGTTCTCGCTTACTGAAGCAGGTATGTTTTGAGATAAAAATTAGTTTTTAATTATACCTTTTCTGTTATTGATTATTGTGGGAATCAATTTTAACTCAATTGTAATTGTGGGGTTGCTAGGGTAAATGTTGTTTATTTTATAATAGTTTTTTTAAAGTCTTTCAGTTACAGAAATTTTCCATTTCTTAAAATGTTTGGTATTATATTTGTACTAAATGGCCTTATAGTTTTGAATTATCAAATAAATGATGATTAATCATGAAAAATTATTAATACCACATGTGGAAGTAATAGTTGTCTGTGATAATCTTTATGATGTTGAACAATCTCTGTTCTCTGGTTGATCTATCACTGCATAAAATTGTGATAATGTCTTTGTAGTTTTCTATTCTTTATTTCCACAGCGTGAAGCATTTCAAATGAATGGTATTTTGATAGAAAGATAAACGATAATAAAATATAAAAGATACGTCTTCAAATCTAAGGACACATTAGTATCAAAAATCAATATTCTTTGATTGATCTGACTGATGTTGTAGCCTCTTGAATTTGAAACATATTTCGATTTTGCGAGATAAATCACATGATGGCTCAATAATATACTCAAAATTTTTTCAAAAAAGGCTGCAAATTTTTTCTTAAAATTTTTTCCTCTGTTAGTGCAAAGGCACTTGAAGCAATGATCTCTTTTAAGCTCTCAAAAGTTTTTAAAATTGCAAAATTTTAAATTTTTTTTTCAGCGTCTTCCAACAACTACAAAATTGAAGATTTTTGCCAGAATGAAATCTGTTCATCAAACACAGTTATTCAAATTAGGTCATTTTCAATTTTTCAAAAATATGATTTAGTTTTTTGTGAACATAGGCAATTTTTAAACAATTTTAAACAATTATTTTCGCAAAAACTAAATTTTTGCTGTACATTCTTTTTTTGGAATGTAGCAAATAAGAGTAAAGGAAGTGGTTCTGTGCTTATTTTTGGAGAACTCTGTATTTTCGATAGTTAGATGGGAAAGGGGAGGTTTTTTGTTAACTGAAATGTGTCCTAAAAAAAATCAGTTCTTTAAAAAAGGGTTTGGTACACTTTTTAAAATTTTGTAAAAATTATGCTAAACTACTCAATCTTCAAAATTGCAATTCAAATTTCCTACATCAGTATCTTATCCATTTGCTTCAGTATCTTTCAGGAGATATCAATATGATTGCAATATGACAATGGCAACGCTGAGCTACGACACAGCAGTTTGAAATTCTAAGAATTCCTCTCATTGTTGGGAGGTGTCATAGTTGTATGAAATGTAATTTTAATTGTTTAATTCGTGTTGATATATTAGCTTTAAAGGTGTTAGCTAACGCATCTGAGTACTATGATTTGTAGTGAGTTTTACAAGTGATAACTGAGATGAGTTGAAATGGGCCGAAATTGCGTTATTATAATATTACGTAACCATTCTGAAATGTCAAAAAGTACGCACTTTGGTACACCACTAATTTATTATTTCCAACATTTAATCAGCTTCCTCATTGATCTCACAGGGGTAAGAATTAATACATACATTATTGAAAATAGGTAACAATATATAACTTTTTTTTTTCCAAATCTTATACTTTAAAAAAGAACAATTCTGAAAACAAAAAATATTTTTGCTCATATTCTTATGTCTATGTAAAAATTATTATCCTATTCTAAATGAATAGTTGAAAAGTATGGAAGTAGAAAGGAAATTGATGAAATGTTGCTAGTTGTCATGTTAAGAGCTATCTCTTTTTAATAAGAATAGATTTCGAAATTGTTTCTGCATTAAAAAACACAGAGAGTATTGCAACCCATTTTTGGTTACTTCACTTTCTCACCCCTTTTGTGAAAATTCATTCTGGCCAAGACAGTAGCAAGGAAACAGTTCCATTATATCTTTGTATCATTTGTAAATGGACAGAAACAAAATGTTGCTTACAATGCTTAACCCACAATCTGTGTTTCAAAAAAATGAGTTGTGAGTATCAAATGCTACTTGTTGTTTGCTCCTATTAAACTTAAGGTCTTAATTATTTTGCTGTTTTGTGTAAAATTATATTAAATACGTGAACTTGAAGTTTTCATGGCAGAAAGTTGGAATTCTTGAGACAAACTGACTTGAAAAAACAACAAATATAGAACTACATTTTCAGCGAAGTGTGTGTGATCAATAGCAAAATACCATATGAATGAAAAGTTCTATGTTTGTAGATGGACTACTCAAGCATCATATTATGCTATGTTTTGCGTATCCGTGTTGATCCTGTAGGTTCTCATTTGTCTACATCAACAATTTTTGCCCTGGCCCATTTTGATTTTTATAATTTTGGCCTGGTTTTGCTGCCGTCTACTCCATTGTAAATTGTTTAGATCCCAATGTCTAGTAGTGTAAATTCAGAAAAGCCATGTCAAGTTCATTTTGAATGTTCAATCATTTTTCTTCTTTACCAGTAGCACTATTTTGAATGTTCAATCATTTTTCTTCTTTACCAGTAGCACTATTTTGAATGTTCAACAGTTTTATCTCGTATTTCTTGAAAATGTTTAATTGACACAGGAATACTAGGGAGGATTTCTAGAATACCACCTGTGAAGGGAGTGTTAAATGGAAATTTGAAGGAAATTCATAATTTTTTTAAATTACCAAATTAATTTGATTTCATTATGTGACATTTTTATTTAGTATTTCATTTTCTACCATGTAAATAAAAATTTGTTGTAGGAAACAGAGTCTCTGAGTTTGGAAATGTTTGATCTTCTTGAAAAACAGAAGGAAGAAATGTTAAAACATGCAGTTGACTGCTTTGTAGCTGCTTTGAAGGTTGGTATTTTGAAGCCTTTATTTAATTTACTTGTTCAGACAACATTCTGAGATGTTAAAATTAATGAAAAATTATTCATGATTCTTAATTTGATGCCAAATATAAAAGTAATAGTAAGGAGAAAAAACAATCTCCAAAAGTCATGTAACGTTATGAAGGTAAATAAAAATAATTAAAAAGGTGATAGTAAAAAAAATATTTGGACCTTGTCTTTATTACTAAATTATTTCATAATTTACCTGTGTTATGCATTGTATTTAGGACAATTATGTTTAATATTTAGAGAGCCAAATATTCATTACGAATTCAGTTCACAATTTGACATCGTCCAAATATCTGCTGCTACATGTGGCAACAATTTGCATAAGAAAGTGCTTTTCATTGCCAACTCAGTTTAGGTTGTGTTATTTTTCTCTTTTATAATCGTATTTTTTGCTTCAATTTATTGTAGCTTACCGAAATTGTCATTTCAATATTTGCAGGTTTGGTATGGTGCTGGGGAAAATTCGGGTCTGCAAGATGAACGATGGTTATATCATTACATGTTAGGAAAGACTGCTGAAAAATATAACAAAAAACCAGATGTGTACTTGGACCATTACTTTAAGGTAAATGCAATCGGATTTTTTGCTTTGAGAAGTTGTGTTTGCTTGTTGTTTGCCTGTTTTCGCCACGAAGGAAAGTGGCAATTAATTCCAAATTGTGGCAATTAACCGAGAAATAAATCATCGGAGGATTTCTGTCGAGCTACAACGCGAATTAAATTTTTGGGTGTGCTGGCGCCCCGTTCACACCCGTTTTGGCCACGAAGATACGTGGCAATTAATTCCAAATTGTGGCAATTAACCGAGCAATAAATCATCGGAGGGTTTCGGTCGAGCTACAACCCGAATTTAACTTGAGTGTGCTGGCGTTGCATCAAGCCAGCTCACACCGGTTTTCGCCTCGGAAATACGTGGCAATTAATTAGCAATAAATCATTTGATGTGTTTCATTCCGGTGTGCTGACGTAGCTGTTTCAGCTTGACGCACCTGTCATCCCCCTTCTCTGCCTTTCTATACTCTATATTACTAGTAGCCACCGCTGCTGTGCACCGAGAGGGTGACGCCATTTGGTGCCTAGGCAGTGCACTCCAAGCTAACTGCAGCGTCGCTCGAAGAGGGCTTTCGTTGCGAATACTTTATATATGACTAATATGTGAATTACTAATGTGCGGGAAACTCGAAACGACGACTATTGTTATGAAACTATTTTGTCTGATAAATTGGCGGTAAAATGTTATTATATTTTACTTATATTTCATGTCCGGATTAGCATATTTTTGTATTTTATTTTGTACTACATTTTTTTGTATGATTATTTAATAGGTTTGGTTCTGTTAGATAGTTTTTGCATTCATTCGAGAAAAAACAAGATGTAATTCTATACTCACGACTTACGAAATAATCTTTGATGCTTTTTTGATTTGATTCTCAGCATGGCCAGCTGGCTCAACACGCTCATCTGTAAAGACTCCAGTAGACTCTTTTTCAAAGATGATTTGTCCTTTTTCTGTTGCCGTACGGCATTGTCTATGCTCTCCTCGTTTTTTTCTTTTTCCGTCGCACCACGAATCACCACCCCTTTACTTGTTTACTCAATTATTGTGTGTAAACAAAATCCCCCCCCCCTTCGTTTTATTTTTATTTTCAGTAACTATTAATTTTAACTTCTCGCGAAACGTTTAGGTTACTGTAATGTTAGCACTAATAGTAGTGCTAAAACAGCCGTAAAATATCGCCCGTGTTTTCACGTAAAATTATGCGATAAGTACTTAAATCTTCGAAAAATTGTACATGACCTTTTTTCGAAATCTCTCTTTAAGGAACAGATTCCATTAAGAGAAAAATCTCTTTCTGTAATTGTTTAGTTCTAGTAAGACTCCGGAAACAATTGAACTTTTGCAATTTTCAAAATTCAGGGTTTTCAACGCACATTAAAGCTGCACCATTCTCTTAAACGTCCTTCATAATTTCTAACAAAAAATTGAACTAAATTTATGGAGACTTTTTTTCTTTCTAAATTTGAAAAATGCCCCAGGTGCTTCATGTTAAGGACCAGAAAAAATTAAAATATCGGTTTCAAATTCTAGGGGCCTTGACTTCAACCAGATCGATTGGAGAATAACAATTTTGGAGAAAATCGGCTGAACGGTTTAGCCGCTAGCATTGTTCTCAGATGGGCTAATGTTTTGCCGTCATTCGATTTTTTGGTATTAATGACCTACAAAACATGGATTATATTTACACTACGAGTTAAAAGTTTTTTTTTCTAAATTTAGCAACTTGATTTATTCGCTTTTTTGTTGCCAGGGCACTGTTACAAGAGTTTTTCTGCAGAAAATTCGCGGTTTTTTCGTGCAGCAATACATAACCTTCTCTGTACTCCATAAAAATATTTTCGGATAATCATTAAAACGAATCAAATCGTATCGCAGCATGAGTTGAGTTGAGACTGTATCATTCCACATATGTACTATGAGACATTCGACGATCTTCATTTTCCGATCACATTCGATTCACAGTCGGGTTTTTATATCGCGTCCTTAGGGTTGGGAAATATAATAACGAAGGGGCGGATTTCTATGGCCTAAACCGCCAAAAATGATCAATAAAATTCTCTTAAAATGTTTTTAAAATACCCTAAAAGCAAAGCAAAGTGACGTGTTTTTTTTTATCAAAACAAATTCAGATGCGTACCTCAAGCCGTTGGCTACGTCACTGATGAA